GAAGCAAAATGTAAGCATACCTTTTGAATACCTGCGGTCGACTCCACGACGTTGTTCTCTGAGCCATTGCTTCTGTTAATCATCCTCCACATTTGGGAATACATGCCATCCCTCTCAAAAGGATTCATCCCTTTCACTCGGACGTGCTCATAGACTGCAGAGTCCAAGACAGTGCCATAAGGAATATCCGTCTGCCTCGAGAGATCCTGGAGAGACCTTAATTGTTGGTGAAGAAAAGAGACACAGGAGACTTGAAGCCACATTTTCAAGAGGAAGGAGCTGCAGGCAAACAAAGGGCAGTACATAAGAAGATAGCTGTCAAGACACCTTCTTTAGTTTTTTTTTTTTAATTATTTTTCCTTTTCTTTTTTCTTGAAAGGTAAAGCGAGACTGAAAATTTGGGTTCATGTTTTAAGACACAAGGAGGAATACAAAGGGAAAGGAAGGGGTGGAAAAAGTGAAAATGTATGGAAAGAGACAAACAGAAATAGTAAGAGGATCCTGTCAAATGCCAAGATCCTTTTGGCAGGGGCAAAGGAGAGAAAGGGAGCATTGCAGTCTCTCCAGCTGTATGCAGGAAGTTCAACAGAAGCTGGGTAACAGCCTACATGAGTACAGTTCAAACACACACTCTGCTGCTGGGGAGCTGGAGTGCTGGCACAAGAACTCACCAAATCTAGCCCAAAGCACCTGTGCTGAGTAACTCTATGTTCTACTGGGTTACACTATGAAAGGCAGTTTTGTCATGGTATTCCTGCACTGAACTGTGCATCCATCACATAGGTCACATCCTATATTATTTTCAGCTATTAGATTTTTGTTGTGGTTTCACAAACTGACTTTTCATCAAAGTTCATGTTATTTACTCTAATAAATTTGTTCTGCTTTACATGTTATCTAGTTTTACCCTTCTTTGTAAACAAGAAAAATAACACAGTTTCTAAAGGATCCCAACTTCAGTATTTTCAACACAGATTTGGACTAAAAAAAAATGTATATTATAACCCTTTAAAGTCTCCTTACCTCTTGGCCTTTAGTTTTCCATCCTGTGGAATTCCTCTTCCGTACCTTTGATTCTTTAATGGCATTCATTAAAGTTTCAAAATAACTACTGCCATATGTCTCCTGCCTAAAACCCATTACAGCTTTCCCAGCACAAATTAACAGTATAAACTGCATAAATCTAGGGGTTGACACATAAGGACAAATCAAGGGGTAGAACACCATCTTAAAGAAGGCAATAGCAAACTGTAAAAGCTCATTGCAGATACAGAAAAGCAAACACAAATGTAGGAAACTCATCAAATTCCAAGTTGTGTTTCTGAAACATGTAAACATGGTGGCTACTGAAAATGGCCCTACAGATGGAAAAAAAGGAATTCTTGGGTGTTCTGGGGATGGCACTGAAGAAAACAATAACCAAATCTCAAAAGATATGTATATCTCTAAACAAAACAGAAAGCAGGAAAAGAAGAAATCAATAGAGCTCAATGGCAAGGGTTCAGAAGTTAGCTAAGTAAAAAAGATATCCTTTGAAATTCAGACATATAGTCTTAGAAAAACACTGAACAAGAGCTAAATTCTAATCAGATAACATATAGTAACTGCAAGGAAGGGATAAATTTAATTTTGATGAGTAAATAACTAGTAGTATTAAACCCCCTAAAATCTTCTCCTCTTTCTCCAACAGGATGACATTCCTCTTCAACAGCCATCCTGCAAACAATTAAGACTCATACGGAATCATCAAAGATGAGATGGTAGATGTAATGTGAATTTCCTGAAACCAAGTGTATTGGCCTTCTACTAGAGGACCAAGATACGCCTTTTTCTAGGAGGAAAAATATGAGACTCTAGTAGACTAAGGCATCAGGAAAATAAGTACTGTGGTTAATTTATAATTGAAAAGTTAAAAATAAATTATCAAGTCCATATAAATACCTAGGAGTTCTGAAAGATTAAATATGAAATGGCTGAGCTATTAGTAAAAATAGGAAACCTTGTTACAGCTGTGAGTGAAAGGGAAGCAGTAAATATTTTAAAAAGTGGCAATCAGGGGAATTGTGAAAGTAAACTGTAGCACTAAACCTGCATTATATGGGAAAACTGTGGTTTAAACAGGTTTTAAAATGGCTTTTGGTGGTCTCTTTGCAAACACATGCTTCTTCTTCCCAGCACCCCCCATGTTATCCATGCAGGAATGTCCTGGGAAGGTGTCCTGAGGTGTTCCCCATTGGCCTTTGTTAACCTCTTCCTGTGACTGGGTGTTCCTGTAAGCCCCTTGAGACTTCTAATTGGTTACTCTGTGAATCCTCCTAAACTCTATAAATGTAACATCCCCAACAATAAACTCTCTCTTGCCTCCTCTCCACGCCCGGTGTCCTGTCTCCCTGCCGGCCATGGGGCCACGTGTGTGGGGGGGAGCACCTCTCCCCTCCAGGCTCAGGGCCTGAAAAGACCCCTGAGAAACCCCTGGAGTTCCCTTTCCCCATCCTTCAAAGTGTCGCAATGGTTCTTCAGATGGAAACGGAACTAGAACTGGGCCGCCCCACGCCGTGGGTGGGGAAAGGGATCCAGAGTAGACTACTTAGGTGATATTTTAGGTGATAAATTTAATAAATATAGTGAAATAAGGTTTGATACAATTTTAAAGATCAGTCCTGAAGCTTAGACATAGCCACCAGGTAGGTTTCTCCAGGGAAAGCAATTTAATCATCTATTACACTTTGAAATTACTAAAAAACCCCAAGAATTTCAAAAGGGCCTTCATCTCTTCAAACAATATACAGATGGTGGAAGACGCTGGATAGTCTTCAAACAAGGAATTTAGAAACACTTCCTGGCAACCCTGGGTAGCATTAGAAATACTCAGCCAGAGTGGATGCGCTTGAGGGATTTCAAGGGTAACAAGAACAGCTTTTGCAGAACTAAAAGTCTAAACAAGGAAAGTGTGAAGTTGTTGATGGGGACAGCAGACACAGCTAAAGCTGAGGCACTCAGTGCCTGCGTTGCCTAACTCTTCCTCAGCAAGGTCCCCCAGCAAGGTCTCTGGGAATAGAGGCAGGGTTCAAGGGAGCAATGAACAACCAGCAGGAAGTGGTCAGCTAAATTTCAACTAGACAAGGCAGGGATTGACTGGGATCACTAGACCCACAGAAGCCTATGGGACCTGGCAGGCTGCATCAAAGTGTGCTGAGAGAGCTGGCCAACGTCCTTGCAGGGCCAGCTGCTTTGATTTTTGAAAGGTGAAGGAGATCCCTGGCCAGTAGAGAAAGAAAATGTCCAGACTATATTCAGAAAGATGAAAGAGATGATTCATGGAATTACAGCTGGTCATCCAACATCATGGAGTGAGTCCTCTTAGGCCACATTTCTGAGCATATGAAGGAGAAGCAGCTGAGTAGCCACGGTCTACATGGATTTACCAAAGCTAAGTCATGCCTGACTAACTTGGCTGCCTTCTACAGTAAAATTACTTTGTTTGTGGACAGACATAGTTTACCTCAGCTTTATCAGGGCATTCAATACTGGCTCCCACAATATTCTTGAATCTAAATTAGGTCATTAGGTATGTCTGGGTGGGAAAACTGATAAATTCCTAATTGGATAGTCATGCTCACAGGGTAGCTCATGTGGAGGCTGCTAACAGGTACCACAGAGATCTAACCTGGGACATGTCTTTACCAATAACCCAGAGGAGGTAACCAAGGACCCTCTTTTCAAGTTTGCTGATGACATGACATTGGGGGACCAGCTGACTGCTCAAGAACAGGCTGCTGTTTGAATGGACCTAGAAAGGCTGAGGGAATGGGGGTGTGAAATTCAGCAAGGACAAATGCAAAGTCCTGCACCTAGGAGTGAATAACTCCCTGCAACAACCCAGGCTGGGGCACAGGTCTGCAGAAAGGCACCCCCACAGGCAGCAATGGGCCTTGATAAGAGCTTTGTTCTATTTTACCATTAGGCAAATTGTTGTGCAGAAGTAGTGTATTACTGTTGTGTTGACTGTCTATCTGTCAAAAGCATCACTGATGAAAGGCACTAGATAAATAGAACATACATCCATTCTGTGTTACTGCTGCTGCTGCCAATACACTCCTCTATCTGGCAGTGTTGAGAAGTGCAATGAACCGTCACAGGATGCAAAATGTAATGTCCTGTGATTGTTGTGTTATTTGTCATACTAGAAAAGTATACAAAAAGTATTTATTGAGTCTCCAATTTCCATCGACAACACCTACCAAAATTGCATTCATTACTTTACAAGTCTATGTATAGCCATATAATGTCTAGTATAATAAGCAACAGAGAATTTTTTGGATATATTATTGCTACGTGGTAAATAATTGATATGTGTAGCTGCTGCCACAAACCAGTATGGTTACAAACAGCACAAAAGAAAACCATCTCCTCTGTATATCTTGTGGCTATAAAAGCAACTCTGCTATTTTCAGAAAGGCAAACCAGCACAAGACATCAGCTGTCAGTCTTGAAGTGTACTACAGTCAGGTATGGGAAACATATTGCAAACAGGCTGAGAAGCAAGAAAGAATGCTATCACACACAAAGGCACCACCAGCAGGGAAATAACAAGGAGAAGAATTATGTCAATGCCTTCAGGAAGGCATGTTGTAGTTGCCAAGTCTGGCATTAACTGCAGTCTGCAGTTCCTCATGGTTAGATGTGCTATCCTAAAACACAGCTGCCCTACTCTGCATCTTTACACAGTTGCAGGTGAAGCTCCATGCTGAGAAAATGATGGTAGGAGGACAAAAGCAAGAAAACTAGAAATATAAACTCTACATATGCACTAAACACTGTTGTTGGCAGTAAACCTCAAGTTTTGGTTCACCTGACCATACACTGAGGAACAAGAAAGAAGTTTCAGAACCTTTGACATGTATATGTGTATATTCTGCTGCATAAGCAAGCTGCAAAAGCAGTAAAGATCTATCACATCAGTGGCTCCCTCCCCTCACACAAACATGTAAAATGGGATCATAATATATATGACCTCCTTCAGATGCTGTTTTTTTTTATAACCTGCAACTCTGCAGACTACTAGTGTGACATTCAGAACCTAGAAGCTATTGTACAGCAAAACAAAGAGAAATGAGAAACTTTGACAGAACTAACAGAATTATTAAACCATTGAGGTTCCTTTACCACAGAAAGAACTTTTATAACTACTTTGCCTCCAGCCTGGTTTTATAAGT